TAGCCATGGAATTTTATTTTGCTCTCCTATCAGAGTTTAGCATCTAGCAAGAAATTTGTCAACCGGCATTGGCAAATTGGCGAGTATGCCTGGAGGATGTCAGCAGTTTGGACAAATTTTAAGTAAGGGACGTTAACAGAAGTACAGGAGACTGTAAGTTCTGTTCTGCTAAAGAGTGAAGAAGAGAAGGGGACAGCACGTTACTGATCAAATTGCTTGTGTTAAACCATCTAAAGGCACACCATAGTGCAGAGTAACACCTAAACTGCAGGCCAAAGTAACAGGAGGAAACCCATCCAACATGGAGTGGACATGCAAACTGCAGCCACACAGGGCAGAGGTGAGACTCAAACCCACAACCCAAAACAATTTTTTCTATAACTACTGTGCCACCATGGCACCAAACACAGTCACTGAAGAAAAACATCCCTTGTGTGGCATCATGAAGGGAAATCTTACCGCAAAGTGCTCCAGCCCGTCCTTCCAGCATCACTTGCCAGGTGAAGGCATCTCCACGGCCACACTCAGAATGGAGCTCTTGGATGGACAGGGGAAAGGTGCACTTCCAAAGCAGCAGAACTCTGGGGAGATGGTGCACCACCACAGCCGGACCTGCATGACAAATGATAAAAATATGAGAAAACAACCACGTAGAACTAATACTTCACACTGACTGGTCAACTCATTAGGACACCATTTTGTGAGGGGGCAACATCTTAGCACGTTTACATAGATACAAAATCACTCCCAAAATAGAATAACCATTTATTGAACATACAGACAGACACACCAAAGCATCAGCACTGCCAAGGGAGTTATACTCACCCAGAGTCATCAGTGCAGAAAGGAGTAGCCAGCCTCCCTGGGTACGCTGGAGTGCTAAACGACTGTTCTGGGAGGCCGAGCGCAGGAGGTCTTCTGCCAAGCCAAGAACTACCTGTGGGGTTCGAACAGAACGTGGAGAACTTGGAAAACATGGAGAATGTGGAGATAGTAGCAGGCATTTCAGCTGCTGAATGACTAAAGAGGGAGGGAAAGCACCCATGGGAAAAATACAGCCACTTTCCACAGAGCTCACCCCCCGCCAAGGTGACATTTGCACAATTATCCTACGACATAAAAGTTGGTTACTCTCATGATTTGTCTGGTACCTGGACAGACATTTACATTTATTTGTTTAGCAGCCATTTTATCCAAAGCGATGAATTATTGACAAAACAGGGTCAGACAGTCCCTGGAACAACTGGAGATTTAAACTGGGAACCTTCTGATCACGGACGCAGTGTCCTGACCTACACACCACCCCATGAAGGGTACGAGAAGTAGACAGATTATTACGCTAATCATTTTAGTTAATAGCATATTAAAACTACTGCTATGATGATAATTTCATAATTATTTACGTACCTATACAATCATATTACACTGTGGAACACATCATCTACATTCAAAAAAATGAACTATCGCTATAGTTAGTTTTACTAAACCCATCCTTGTTCACAGTACATAAATAATGCAAGTAACTACATTAAGAACATAAGAACTATACAAACGAGAGGAGGCCATTCGGCCCATCGAGCTCGCTTGGGGAGAACTTAACTAATAGCTCAGAGTTGTTAA